TTTATTCAACCTTTGCCCATTTAATTAAGTCTTTGCCTTCACTCTATGTTTTAGCCATTACTATACTGTTTATAAACAATATAAATAAAAACACAAACTTAGTTAAGAAGTGAGATTTATTGGTAACCCAGATGGGAGGGATACCAGGTTGCTCACAAAATTGAAGAGAGAACTGTAAGCTCTGCCAGGATTCCTTCTTCCCCAAACACTTCTACCCTACTATATACAGATTATCTCCACATGAAGAGAACATGGTAGTTGGCTCTGCCAATTGAAAACCTCTGGCAGAAAGAAAAAGGTCTCTTCTCTCAGCATGATTTCCAAAGAAGGGCTCTGAATGCCAATATTCCAGTCACATGCATGCCCAGACTTAGGTAAATCATCATTACCAGGGGGATGGAATTTACTACATGTCTTAGCTTGGGTTCCTTAAAAAAAAAAAAAAAAAAAAAAAACTGAGATAATGATTTTCTCACAAGTAGTTTATTTAAGAGGTGATCCCATTGCAAGGGAGTGGAAAATAAAGCAGCTTAGGAAGTGGTTTAATGAACACATAATTGTTCTGGGTAACTGAGGCTTCATTTGCTAGACACAACTAAAAGTTGTCAACAGAAATGAGAAAGCAGTGTATGTATCCAAACCTCTGCAACTCTGTGGGTATTTCTGGCACAAATGTGAAGGTGATGCAGGATTTTTCTCAGCCCCTTCACTGGACTCACAGCAGGGATGCCCCATCTGTCTACTTGACACACTACGCTCAAGCCTTTCGGGGAGGAATCACGTGAGCCAGTGAGTGCAGGAGCTGGCTGGCCCCTCCAGGTGCTGACACAACAGCAAGCTCCATTCAGGTTCCCAGCCAGACCAGGCATGTCACCTTGAGGGGAACATGGTGGCACCCAGGTGAGCATGCCTATGACACCAAAGCCCCAGAGAGGGTGGTTCAGTGCTCCTTTAGTTCCACTGTTCACAGACAGCAGTGTGTTAGCTGCTCAGTTGGCCCCTTACCTCTTCACATGAGGTGGCTGCCCTCCACTGGGGAGGGCAAAGACCTGGTTGGACAGCCCTTCTAGGTACCCGCACCTCAGTGGGTCCCAAACTCTTGTCCCGTGTCCAAGAGAATGAGGCCATGCAGATGACTGAAGGATGATGAAGGTGGAGAATTTTACTGACTAGTGAAAACAGCTCTCAGAGGAGAGGGAAGCTGAAGAGAGTACAGGAAGAGCAGGTTGTCCTCCCTGAAGTCAGGCTGTCTCTTCCCCAAAGTCAGGTGGTCTTATCTTCTACTGACTGAGTCTGGGTTTTCATAGAAACAGGGTGGGAAGAGCTTGCTGATTGGTTTGTGAGTATGCAAAAGTTAAAGCGAAGACAACACTCAGAGGTGGGTATGACAGTGTACAAAACCAATTAGGAAAGGGCACATATATGTAAAATAGGTAAAGGCTGGGAATCAATCAGAGGAAAGCATTGCCAAACAGGAAGGCAAGTTCTCAATCCGGTGTGAGAATTTAACTTGTAGCTTGGCTTTCAGACTTTAAACTGTCACTGGCTTGGAGGTGTTGTTTCACTGGTTACCCCCCGTTATCTACCTAGGCATTTGACTGCCCCTTGTCACTATCAAAGCCCTGTACAGCATTGTACTTTAACGGTTAATTAACTGGTGTCTCTCTCACTTAAACTTTAAATTCCCTGAGGACATATCTTCACCATGTTTAATTTTTCCAGAACCTATCTCAAGATGATACATCATAGGAAATCAATACAAGTTTGTTGAATCAGTTAATAAAGAATACTTTTTAAATTTCTAGAATACTACCAACATGCAGTTACAAAATAGACATGTATTTGTGTACAGAGTACAGTTTATAGAGGCAAAAAAAACTGGTTCCAATAAATTTCTAGGTGTGTAAATTTATGACATACTAAATAACTCAAGCTAACACTATTGTGGTGTTAAGAAATGAAACCTATTTGTTTACAGAAATCTTATAAAATGTGCATTTCTATGTGTTATTTTTCTATTTACTAAAGCACTGTTTGTTCCTACAGAAATTGTTCCAAACTAATAAGATTATATAAAATAAACACACTGAATTATTATTGTCACATGCTCTTTTGCCTCCTCATTTTCTTGTAAAGTGTTCACTATTCACAGAATTAATTAATCACCTCAGTTCTAGTCAGAAGACAGAAGCATTGCCCCTTATTTGCCTCACAAACAGGATCACAATAGTTCTGGTGCTTAACTATACCTATAATTTTTAAGTAGCTGACATTGCAAAAAGGATTAGATTATTTTCATTATATATTTCAATCACACTAACCAAAATAGTTTACCTGCTAGCAGTCTGACATAAACCCCAAAGTATCAGTTATTCTACTTGCTGGTCCTTCAGAGTGAATTTGAATGCCATTTCTAATATAGTTGTTTAACATATAGTCATATTGTTACTCTGGCTGAAATTTTATCTATACTCATATTTATATAGTAAGATACCCTAGAGACTGACTAAAAGCTGTGAAAAGGAATTCAGAATTACATATGTGGAATCCTTAGCCCGTAAGCCTTAAATTTCCATTCTTATGACCAGTTCTATTTTCGTCAACTGACAAACACCAACAACTTTCAAAGGAATCCATTGGAGCTTTCAAGTAGTATATGTAGATGTTAAGTCTTGGGATTTTTTGTAGTTTTAAATGCTGGTACTTGTGAGAATTAAATTTGATAAAATATTTTCTTTCAAAAGTAATATACTGTCTTTGACATACAACCTATTCTAAATAAAGCTATTAACCCAGGCAAAGCCTCTAAAATGGTACATAGTCAAATTCTTTTGCCTTTATGAGGTAATTTTTAAAAGCAATGTTACAGCCTTTAGTTTTTAATCTGCTATAGAAGTTAAAACTACTAAAGACAATATTACACATTATTACAGTAGTCAGACACGATTTACAGGAACATACTCCACAATTAGGTTTAGAAATATATAGATAGATGCTAATTAGTTAAAAAAAAAGATGTGCAATTCAAATATCTCTTTGTACTGAATTGCAATCCCAAAGGAATAAACATAATTCATTGTGTCTACCTGCCACTCCAAAGCACTGATTTGGCTTAACTACAATAATGAAACATTAAGTGGAAATAAGATTTTATTTACTTAATAATAGTGAAAGCCAAATTCTCCCCATAACGTCTTTGTCATGTACAAGGGGACAGCAGATATCATTACTAGTTCAATATGTGACTAGAAGGTTTTAAAATGTTTCTAAACTTTCTTTCCCTGACCCCATAACAGGAAAAATATGTCACTATGTTTTATAAGTTTATTGAATGCATTTATGAATAGCAAATGAATTTTTTAAATATTAAGGTTTTAAAACAATGCCAATTTTGTAGAAAATTATCTCTGGTGAAAACAAAGGAGATTTATCTAAAGTGAATAAACATACTATTGCCTCTTCTAGAAAATTTATTTAATATTTATACTCTGAGAATTTTTATTGTTTTACTTAGCCTACTTACATTCCCAGAAATAATATTTCTTACATTCTCAGAAATGTAAGTAAGCTAAATAAAAAATTCTACTTAGAATGTTTAGCAGAATTGTTCTACTAAATGAATTAGCTTCACTGATATTGAATAATTTTTAGCAAGGTTCACTCTCAATGTTTGCTAAAAGGAAATCTATTTACTTATTTGAATTATGGTCTTCATAATTATTGAATTTTTCTGGGCATCAAATGCTCCCCTTGTATTTTTTTCTTCTCTATATTGTTTTTCCTGTCTTATTCTTGAAAACAGTCTTTCATGTACTCTATAAATCTAATGTCATTTTTGCAAAAACTATTACAGATGGCTTTCTAGCTTTTAATTCTAATCCTTCGGAAGTACCAGAAGTTTCTGTCATATGTACAGATTTAAGGACTTGCCTCAATATTCTTAAAAAAGAGTAGTTTCTTAAGAAAGTTTTAGAGGATTTGCAAAAATAAATGAAAATAACTTTGAATAAGGTATCTATTTAACTAATGTCATCTAAGCTGGCTTTTTTGAACAGAAGAGTAAATAAGTGATTTCCTTAACTTTAAGAGACTCCTTTAAGGGCCAGTGAGAGGGAAGAAAACATGAAACCACAAGTGAATATTAGAAAATAAATTGCAGTTGTGAATCTCCAAACGCAATGTGCTTTTTTATATTATGCTTATAACACATCTAGTTATTCTGAGAACCTGCCATGTGTTTTGGAGCAGAAGCATCTCCACTGAAGATGGAAATTTCTTGTGAGTAGCTATCAACACATGAACCGTGAACACATACCCAAACCAATGTGCATTAATAAGACTTTCTTCACTTGCATAGGAAGAGACCCCAATCAAGAAAGTTAAATAATATCAGGAGAGTTACTGGCTGATGTGACCCAGGAAGCCAGAAATATCTTGGCTTCAGGTATGGCTGGATCCAGGAGCTCCAATAGTATTCCTTGAATTGCTCTTTCTTTCTTGCATAGGCTTTCTCTTAATGAGACAATGTAGCCACCAAAGTTACAAAGTTATGTGATTGTAACTAAACAATCTAAGTAGAAAGAAGTAATATTTTGATAGCTCCAGAAGAATATGTACAATAAGGCATTTCATTAACCTTGATTATACCTATGTCCACCTCTAACTAACTGCTATTGTCAAGAAGACTATATGAACAGGATTATTTAGAAAAGAGAAACTGTTACTAAAAGAGAGACAACTTCTAAAAGAAAAAAAAGGCCAAAAGGCTATAAAGCTTCACTCTGTTTCCTCTTCCAAGTGGTTAATTCTTAGATTAAGTCATTCAATGTATTTCTCTAATATATTTTTATAACTGGATTTGAAGTCAGATACTCACCTAGCCACAATATGCATAGGACTTTTCCAACCCATTTTAAGAGGCCATCATCCCATAGGCACAGTAAATACACAAACTAATTAGGTAATTATTTTAAAAAATTAAAATCCATATCAGCTCTTACCTTCTCTACAAATGCAATGCTGATTTTCATCTACCAAAGCCAAGCATGTTGAGTTGTTTCTGCAAGGGTTATTAAGTAGCTCACAAGGGTTATAGCGTTGTTGGCAAAATTGTCCAGTATAAAGGGGTGGGCACAGACATACAAATTGTCCAGGGATGGTAGATTCATGACAAAGACCTCCATTCATGCATGGATCAGAGTCGCATTCATTTATTTCTTCACTACAGTTCTGTCCAGTCCATCCAGATGTACACTCACATCTGAAATATTAAAGTTTTAAGTATAAACATTTTTTCACATTTATTTTTTGTATTTCTAATTACTGCCTTGAACTAAGTATGTAGTACTCTTAAATTTATAACAGGACTAATAAATAATACATAGTTTGAACATACTGTTTGCCTAATTTCCTTGGAAAATATAATATATATTACCACAACACTTACCGCATTGGCTGATAGAAGATTTAAGAAGCATTAGCAAATTTCTATTATAGTCCTCTGAGACATGTCAGAGAACAACTATTGAGTTGAATTACCAACTGAGCACAATTTCCCTATGAAGTATTTAATGTAAAATAAGGTTTACAGATAAGATCACTATTTATAAACCTTAAATGCTATTTAATTCAGTATCCTTAGCAATATGTGAAATTCTTGTCATCACCAGAGTATTTAACAAGGTGTTACTTTCTGTTAAGCATCTGTTTTTGGTTTTGTGTGTTTGTTGAAGCATTTAAAATACATTTTTAAAATTATCTTTTCCTTTTAAAAAATTTAGATTCAGGACTTACATGTGCAAGTGTGTGACACAGATACACTGCATAATGCTGTAGTTTGGGCTTCTGTTGAACCCATTCCCCAAACAATGAACATAGAACCCAACAGGTAGGTTTTCAGCCCTTGCCCTTCTCCTTCCCTGCTCACTTTTGGAGTTCCCAGCTTCTATTGTTTTCATCTTTACATCCATGTGTACCCACTGGTTAGCTTCCACTTGAAATTGAGAATATATGGTATCAGATTTTCTGTTTCTGCATTAATTTACTTAGGATAATAGCCTCCACCTGTATCCATATTGCTGCAAAGGACGTGATTTAATTCTTTTTATAGTTTTGTAGGATTCTACGGTGTATATGCATCACATTTTCTCTATCCAGTCCACCCTTGATAGACACCTAGATTGATCCCATGATTTTGCTCTTGTGAATAGTACTGTGATAAACATATGACTGAAGTTGACTTTTGGTAGAATGGCTTTCTTTTATTTGGGTAGATGCTTAGTAATGGGATTTCTGGCTCAAATGGTAGTTCTATTTTGAGTTCTTTAAGAAATCTCCATAATGTTTTCTATGGAATGAACTAACTTCATAATTAATATTTGAAAAACGTGGGATAGTTGAAGGTAAAGCAAACAAATGAAAAATAAAGCATTTTTTTCATTTTTAGAATCTGAAGTTACCTGCATATGACAGACTTCTAGCTCAGTCTAACCCTCCATCCAGTAACTACCATTATGTTCAAATACCACTTTGGCCAATCATCATCCATGAAACTAAGCTAGTTCTGCTCTGAAGAGAAAAATTCTAGCACACAGGAGTGGGGAAGTGTTTTACATACAAAGTGTTCATTTAACGGAAATTGAAAGGTGACAATGAAACCTGCAGATAGTGAGTAAATGCAAATGGAGAGACAGAGGGGTAGTCTATCAGCTGGGTAAATGGAAATCAATCACAACATGTAGATCAGTTCAAGGAAAGAACTTGTACCATTTTGTGGGCAAGGTAGAGTTCCAAATATTGAGTAACTGTACTATTATGCAAATTATCAATCATGAAACAAGCACAGAAAATATTAGAATAATTATTTTCAAAAAGTATATTTACTGATAGGTTCAATTTTTAAGATAACTTGAAAAAAATCATAGCGTTGAAATCATGTAACTTACTTCATGATATAGAATATTTTACTAAAAGGAGGGGAGCCAGGAGGAAGGAAAGAAGGAAGAAAGAAAGAAAAGAGTCACCTAACTTGCAGTTTCAAAGCTCCAGATATATCAAGGACCTTTTGTAATTATAAATATATAATTCCAATATATTGGAGGAGATAGTTGAAAAAGCGACTTACCCCAACATCTTTGAACTCTAAATATCTATCGTTAAAATTGAAATAAGAACTAAAATGAATAACTTGCAAAATGATATTATACTTAATTGACTAGTAGCATCCTAATTCAGTAAGACTAAATCCAATGCATTGTAAGCCAGTGGATTTCACAGCTGTCTAAATTGGTTTTATATTGGTTGTAGGCAGAAAGTAATTGCTATAATGCTAACTGCATATTTCTTTGTGACATATGCTTGCACAAGGCAACATTTACAACTGAAACAATTCATATCTTTATAATATAAAAAGCATATACCTAAGGGTATGTTATTTACTTAATATTTTATTTTCTTCTCAAAATCAAAATGCTCTAATTATTTTGGTGACTTTCCATCGTGGTTTGCCAGGAGAGTCCTGGTTCAGTTTGTTGTTTTGACACAATTTTCAGGGCATCCTTTCACTTAGAAGTTTCTAAGGTGCTATTTTTTAAATCTCTATCTCCTATATACCATTACTGAAAATGAGTATCGAAAAAAACAAACAAAACAACTATACTCTCACTTATTTACTAATCCTACAAATTAATTCACTTTGCTCTAAAATTTGCTTGCCACACACTTTAGGAACTCATCATACATACTATTTTGTGTTAAAACCATTTGCATGGTTTGCCTCTACTACTAAGCTTTTGGTTCCTGAATGTGTAAGAATGATCTGAATCTCCACATTATCATGTCAACATAATAAATATTGACAATACTATAAGAATCGACTAATATAAGGTCCTCAATGTTGGAATCAGATCGACCTATCTGCACTCTTTCATTTAGGAAGCTGAGGATCAGAGTTTTATGAAATTGGTAATCTCACAGAGCAGTTGTAAAGATTAAATGAGATGATAAATAAAACGTGTAAATACTGGAATAGTGGCTGGCATCTGCATTGCCTGGCCACATACATTGTTTACTAGATGGTGTCACAGAAGTTTTAAGAATACATTTTCTGACCTATGAGCTTAAATATAATGCGTATCTCAACAAGAATATTTCTTTAACCTTTACTAGTACTTCTTTGTGATTTTTGATCATCATATTTTAAAACTGTTAAATGTACTATCCAATTTGATAGTTTCAATTCAGCTTTGCAATATGTAGAAGAGATATTCTTATTCCCACTTTACAGATGAGATAGGTGGAAGTTCAAAAGATAATAGTGATGTATCCAAAGTCACGTGGTTAAGTAAATGAAACTTAGAATCCAGATCACTTCCTCTCAAGGTCCTGTTTTTCTCTTTTTTAATACTTGTTTTAAATTTAGTATAATTCCTTTAAACATTTTGTGAAAAAACGTTTAAAAAATTGGATATTACCCAGTCTTAAAAAAACAACTTCAGTACACTTATTTTACTTCAAATAATGTCACTAAAAATATAACTATTGAGTCATATAATGGGACTCAGTTAATATACTATGACAATTTTAAAAGGAGAAAAGCTAGAGAATTAACACGTTCTAAAATCTCAATCACTACCACAACATGATCACAGGTCCTAAGGAAATTGCAAGGTACGTATGTTTTTCTCTTTACTGTATTCTCTTATGAGTACATAATTCCAACTTGGTTAATTTAAAAGAATTTCATAAGAAAAACCGACAGTTCTTGACTATTTGGCATATGTGCTGAAGGCTTGTTTTATCTTCTCACATAACAGTGGCCTAAGATCTCATGTGGTTGTCATTACAAGGATCAGATTTTCAGGAAAACATGTGGCTGTATGTCAAGAGGACTGAAAATGCCAAGACTGAGGCGATAACATGGATGTTTTGTGAAAAATAAAGTTCCAAGGAGCAGTCTCTACTAGAGGCTAACAATCTTACCTACAGGTTTATATCTTTGAATCTGCTTCTGTATATGTCAGAGGAGCTAGTTTTTGATGGATGGAAAAACATATTTTATGTGAGGGCTTCAATCTGATTCTAAGTTTGCACCATGAAATAATTTCAGGATTTAGTGGAAGATTGACAGATTTTTTCAAACTCACAGCTAGAAGCAGAGTCATTACGGATTAAAAAAAAGAAAAACATGCAAAGCACATACTGTATGACTTTTCACGTGTACAATTTCTGGCAGTAAACACTTGAAAACAAATAAACGTGTGCTTAAAGATAGATTAATATATTCTAATTTGCTCTTTTCTCTAGTGTGAGAACACCTAAATTCACTGGTGTAAAATACATTGAGTGCTTCTAAGGACAACTTTTCAAATCTTAAATGCTGATTTAAAGTACCAAAACTGATAATGGGAAATAAAGTAGTTATTCTTAAAAAGTGGGACAAAGTCTACTCATTAAGGCGCAGTGGCTCACATCTGTAATCCCAGGTGGAATTTTGAGAAGCTGAGGCAGGTGGTTCACAAGGGGAGGAGATCAAGACCATCCTGGCCAATAAGGTGAAATCTCATCTCTACTAAAAGTACAAAAATTAGCCGGGCGTGGCAGCACCTGCCTGTAGCCCCAGCTACTCAGGAGGCAGAGGCAGGAGAATTGCTTGAATCTGGGAGGTGGAGGCTACAGTGAGCCAAGATCATGCCACTGCACTCCAGCCTGGGTGACAGGGTGAGATTCAGTCTCAAAAATAAAAAAAAATTCACTAGCTTCAAAAATCTTAATAAATGTCAATTTATAATTACTAAGCATTCTATATGTTTACTTTACCATAAATATTTATGCGTGATAACAAAATACCATTCAGCAATATGTATCTGTGTTTGAACATATTTTGTATATTAAGGTACATATGATTTTTTTGCCTATAAATTTATGAATAGAAATCTAACAGTATATGCAATTTAAAAGAATATTTTCTTCTAAAAATTATTTCACTTCTCAAAGAAGCAAAGGGTAAGTTGTTGTTTATCAGAGACTGCGAGGTGGAGGAGATTAGGGGAGATGTTGGTCACAGGCGACAGTTAGACAAAAGGAAAATGTTCCAGAGATCAATTGTACACGACCATGACTATCATTAATAACAACATATTGTGCACTTAAAAATTGTTAAGAGAGTAGATTTTAAGTGCTTTCTTCACAAAAAAGATGAGTATGTTAGGTAATGCATATGTTAATTAGCTTGATTTACCCTTTTCAAAATGTATGCATATA